AATGCAAGTGAGAAGAAATCTTCTAAAATGAGAAAGTCTCCACTGTAATATTAACTTGTCAGAGGGGAAAGAAGATTTTTCAAGATATTTTTATGAAGATTTTGTAGAGATTATTTCATGAAAAGAATTATCTAAAGATATTAATGGAAGTTTCCATATTAGCATGTTAAATTAGTGCAGAAAACAGATGCTGTAATAATATATTCTCATGAATATCAAACTGAGATTTCAATTGTGCTCTAGAGAAGATTTGTTCTTTCCATTGCAACTATATTACATACATGCCAAAATTAAATGGATTGTTTTTTACATATTTAGGCACCAAAAACACAATTATATAAATATAAACACTTCTTGATTCATACAATTATATTGTTTGAAAATATCAAGCAACTCTACAAGAAAATATATAAATTGACAGTTCTTTTTCAGAATTTAAAAACAGAATTTAAAAAGGTTTCATTTCAAATAATTTTATTAGATCACATGAGTAAAGGCTAAATAGAGGATATTGTTCATTTGTTTATCATTAAGCACAAAGCTACATATAGGGATATCTGTGCTCTGCCCAAAGTAGGTGTTGAAACCTAATTTTTAGTGTTATAAGTCCACATACAGATGAGTAATTAGAGAGCAAATTTCATGTGAGGAAAACTACTATGAATCGAAAGAAAGACTGGGAAAATGTTCAGAAGATAGTGGAATTTGCTCATTTCATCAAAGTTGTTTATAATATTATGGTTATGTAAATCAATAAAACAGATTTGGACACAAGAAGATATGGCAGCTTTTGTGAAAGATGTTACAAAGACATTATATTATAAAAAAATCCAATCATGACAAGCAATGGAATCTAGAGGGCAGTTTTTATTTGTAAGTTTTACCTAAAGTTAACATTTTTCATACACTGGAAATGTATTTCCGATAGGTACTTACCTGATCACACACAAAGCTATATCGATCTTCTTTCAGCTCTTTAAGCATTGCTAAAAAATGTTCACAATCTGTGCACCAGTCTATATACCCATCAATTTTGTACCTTTTCTAAACATATGATTACTCTCCATCAATATTATTGTGACACCTATATTGGCACAGCTAGCTCCCCCTACTATTCCTGCTCAATCTTCATTTTTGAGAATTGGCAGGCTCCAAAGGAAAATCACCAGCAGTGGGGAGGAAGGGGTAAGGGTGTGAAGTGTATGAGAGGAGGGAAGTATCTATCGGAAATACATTTGCAGTGTAAGAATAATTTTAATTTCCGATATGATCTTATCTCCTCTCGCACAAAGCTAAAATCCCACATCGCAAAGGTGGATGTGCCAGTGTAGGTATATCCTCAACCCCAACCATAAGTAAACAGA